GCCAAGGAGGAGTTACTCAAAAAGAAGTGAGGCTTTCCTAACCCCCAGCCAACCCCTAATCCCCACACAAATGAGAGCCTGCCTTTGTGCAATCTGTCACATACCATTCTTTCATTTAAAATAAGCTGCTGTTACGCCGAGATTTCTAAGTTTTATCAGGTTGACCTAATAAATTTATTTTTCACCCAGTAGTGGCCATATTGATTGACATTTTGGACCAGATAATTCTCTGTTGTAGGAAGCTGCCCTGGGCATTGTAGGATTACATGTAGCCAAATCTTTGGCCTCTATGAGCAAGATGCCAGTAGTGCCCTCACAAAGGTCTCCAGACGTTGTCAGTGTCCTCAGAGGAAAAATCAACTCTAGTGGAGACATACTGATTGAAATACTTATGTAAATAAAACATGAACACGTTTTGAAAATTTCAAAATGGTGCAAGAGGTATGAGACTCCATACCACCTCTTATCACTTCTGCGTAAAGATAATGAATGTCTAGTTTCTTACATGTTTTCCAGAAAGTTACCATGCAAAAGTATATGGATCTATTCTGCACAGTCATGACCATTCAAGAATATACCTTGATATTTTTCATTTTAATATATCTGTGAGACGTTTGTATTACAACACAGTTTTGTATTATTCTTTTTAATGTCTGCACAGTATTGTTCTGTTACGGATGAACCATAATTCATTTAACTAGCTATCAGTGTACATATGGGTCCTAATTTTTTTTATCCTTTTGAACACCATGTTAAACATCCTTGTGTTTTCATGTTGAATACTGTGTGATTATAACTATATCATTTAGAGTATTCCCTAAAAATGGAATCACTAGGCCAAAGGAAAAGTACATTAAATGTATTTGTGGACAGTACTACACTAGTATCTGGGTAGGAGGTAGCCATTTCCTCAGGTTATGAAACTTTAAGTCTTTGCTCATGATACCCCTCTGTGCGTGTATTTCATAAAAAGTGAGATTTCCTATATTTATGAGTTGTTTTTTTAACCCCTGTGATTACACTGCATATATTCTTTGCCTATTTCCCTAATAGCTTATTAGACATTTTCTTTCTCATTTGTAGGAACTCTTTATATATTAAGGAAATTAGTCCTTGTCATCTTAGTTGTCACAAGTATGTGTGTACTATTTATTTTCTTTCAACATTATTAATGCTTTTCTCTATAGAAATGAGTTGTTTCAAATTTAGCCCTCTTTTGGTACAATTTCTGTTTTTAAAGTCTACAGAGTTTTACATATAAAAGTGCTTTTCCCCCCCATTTTCTTCTATTGCTATGAGCTTGGTTTTTTATGTTTAACTATTCAAGCTATCTATAATTCATTTGAGTATATGGAGTGAGACCAAAATACCACACAATTTTTTCTAAATATCATGCTGTTGACAAAGTTGCCTCATATTTGGGTGCAAAATAATAAAGCAAGATCCATACTTGGTGCTTGCAAAGAACCAAGAGAGGGCTGTTGTAACACAGTGAAGGAGAAGTGGTGCTGTCTGGACAACAGGCAAGGACCTGGTCTGTAGGCCTTTGTAAGTCAGGATTGTGAATTTGATTTTGTTCAAATAGTGTTTCTTTTTCATGGTGGCGTCACATGTTTCTCTATATATAACATATATTTTGCTTTTTTTTAATCCACTGAACATTTAAAATTTTCTGTATTATATACCAGACACACTATTACTTCCGTCATCACATTTTCTGTCATGTTTTTAGCTCTTAATGTTTCCTTGGTTTCTGTCTTTTGTTGAAATTCTTGTCCTGCGTTACTTCCCTAAGGCCTTGTAATATTCTCTCTGGCCTCTGGTATTGTATACTGCTGGGGAGAAATGTGAAGCCAGTTGATCTTTCCCCTTGTAGGTTAGCTGCTTTTTCTGCCATAATGTATTAAAGTAGCAGTCTTATAAAATTTTAACTCATTAATTCACATTCAGGATACTGGAAGGTATTAATCTTTATCTGTGGTTTTGTTTTCTGGGGACAAATGGTTCTCTCCCTATTGGCTGAGAAAGGTATTAGAATATTTCAGAATTTTTCTTTTATTATATCTTTGAACATTTTTTTTTCTATTCTACTTGTTCTTTTTTTTTAATGTACACCTTTTTTGGGGAATATTTTGGTTATCTTTGAGAGTCTATCAGTTTCTCTTAAAATGAATGTTAACCTTTTGTACTTTGTTTGACATATTTTTTTCCCAAGCCCTCCCTTCCTATCCCTAAGTGCTGTGTCGGCAGTATCAGTTCTGGGAGCTATCCCCCTTTATGTGCCTTTCATCTGCAACATTGACTTTTTCTTGTTTGTTTCCTTCTTTGATATCTTAGGCATCTTATTCTAGCTCTTATTTCAATGAAAAGCCACACTTTCTTGAGCTCTTCTTGTGCTTGTCAAGAGCGTTCAAGATATTCTCCTACCTTATGACCTGGTTCTTTCTGTAAAGATTAGTTCATATTATTTTCATTTATTTAACTATTATATTATTTCATATACATATATGTGTGTGTGTGTGTGTGTGTGTGTGTGTGTGTGTGTGTGTATAGTATTTTCCTTATTATTTTCTGATGATGTGTAAGGAAGAGGGGCTGCAAAGTTGTCTCAGAACAATTTTGTCATCAATGTTCTGCATCTTCCACACTAGTCACCTGTAACTTGACAGCCGTAAGCACCTCCCTCACTGCCATTTCTTCTCCTTCGGTGAGTTGAAGTTCCATGTGTCTCACACTGAATGTCTGTATGTTACGGGTTTTCTGCCAGAGGCGTTTGCATTTCTTTCTTTTCAGGTTCCCTTGATCAGAGTCTTCCCAGTTGATGGCCATTTATCCTCCCTATTTTATCCTGCCATCCTCCTCATTGCTCCCCTCATTGTGGGGAGAAACCACATTTGTGTATACATTGCCCCTAGAACCTCAGTTTGCTTGCCGTGCTGAATGGGGCAAGGGGCTTCAGCCATGACTTGTCTCTGCTTCTAGATTTCACCCTTTAAATATAAGAGTTGATTCAGCTGTTTCTTGGATAGTTTCCCTTATTTCCTGCAAAACTTTTTACTCTGTAGGTTTTGTCTGCTATTGGCAGTCCCCCTTGTTTGAACTAGTCTTGTTGCTTTTATTACTTTCACTCTGTGTCATCTGTATTTTAATAAAGGCTATTCCATAGTTTCATTGAAAATAGTTATTTTCTATTTTCAATTATTTTTGCTGTTTTCAATTATTTTTGCTGTTTTCAGTTGATGTAGGGAAGGGGGGAGAGGTGTAGAAATATCACTACCTTCAACAAAAGATGACAAATTAACTGAATTAAACAATAAAAGTTAAGTGTTCACTAGATATTTATCAGTGTTTGCTCATTTGTTTGAATGGGAGAATATGAAAGTATAACACAATCTTGGGGAAATAAGGTTATAACTCTTAAAACAATTGACAAATATGCTTGAGTCAGATGTGGATCCAGGCTCTCATTGCACTAAAATTTTGGCTGAAGTATTGATTGTCAAGGCCGCCAGTGGTTAGAAAGCAGTGTGATTGGAAATGTTGTTTTAGGGACAGCTAATATTTGAACAGGTGTTGTAAAAAATATTCAGCATGCAGAACACAGCACAAACTTCTGATTCTTAGTCCCCCATCAAGATTTCTTGACTGGAAACAGCCACACCTCTTGGGGACCTCTTGGGTGACTGTTGGATTTATGAGTGAATTGGTGTGTGGAAGGATTTTTGACGATCAGCAAGGTCGGCAAGCTTATCTTAGGTTTAAGAGACTTCATAGTAGCTTTCTGAACCAGAGGATGAGATAATGAGAGCCGTTCTTAAGAAAATTTCATCTGTCAATTGAATTGAGGTGTATTTCATTTGATCCCACTGGGGCTTGGTGAGTCCTTTGTCCTGGGTATCACACTCAGTACAGTTGTGCATGTAAGGAACCTGGATTCAAGAAACTGGTTTGGAAAAATCTGACTCAGTAAAATTTCAGTAGTAGACTTGATCTCAACTCTTATTATCATGGGGTGGCTGTTCTGTGTTGCCATTGTAGTTCAACTCTAGTAACAGATTCAGTCTGTCATGATTTTTACCACTTAGGTGGAATCTGTGATTCACACAGGATGCTTTAAAGTCTACCTTCAAATCAGTGGAATCCTGTTGTATCCCCAGAATTCAGATGACTTTAAGCGGTGGCACTTTGCATTTCATTTTTCCATATTCGCTCCCTTCTAAATCAGGTTTTCGTCCATCCTCGTGATCCTCGACCCTCTCCTAGTGCAGTCTTACTGCTCCACCTCTTCTACTAATTATGCCTGTCTGATTCCTCCTTCTCTAAAATATTTTTATTCCCTGGCATTTTGCTCCACAGTTGTTTTTATGTCAGTCTGGCTTAATCAATTAGAATTACAGTCCACTTGAAGACATAAATAATTGTCTACATTCTATTTATTTCTACATCCCATGTTATTCCTGAAGATGATTTGAGCATGTTCCTTCCGTACTACCACATTTTGACCTTTGCTGAGGAGGTAGACATCTGATTAAGGGGGGGTCAGTATTTTATGAGCTAAGCTCACAAATGACCAACAGAGGAGTTTTTGTTGTTCTTTATTTATGGTTTTTATCTGTTTGAAAGTCCTACAAAGATCAATCATGTTTAACAAATCAACTTTATAGGGGAAAAGAGCGTGAATTTGAGACTCTTCCAGTCAATGAGAAAGCGTTGCCATGAAACACATTCAATATAAATTAAACATAAGTTGCTTTTCTGTAAATATGTGCACTTTACCAAATTGATATATGCCTTCAGGACAAATTCCCCTTAAAATATTGGTACATGTGATATTGGGACTTTATATTTTATGAAAGAACAGACCGCCACATCCTGTGGCTCTTTATCCCTCAGCAGCTGTGTCCAGCTGGTGGTCCACATTCCCCCTGCTACTTCTTCAGTGAATGGAAACATTTAGGTCAATATTGATATAAAACTTCTCGAACTTTCTTCTCTTCCAGCTTTGGTTCGCCTTTGTTAATGGATTTTCTGGGCAGATTTTATTTGAACGTTGGTGCATCGGCTTGTACAATGTGGTAAGCATTCTCCATCTCTATCAGATAGCATGCAGAACTTCAGTGACATTCCTTTATTGTTTATGTCTGGGAAGTGTATCTAAGTCAATCATCTGCACACATAGCAGGCAGCACAAATACGTCTTTAGAGCCTTTGTTGCGGCGACACATCCTGCAGGGGCCCAAGTCCTCCACACATGGTTTCAATCATAGCAGATCATTCTTGAATAACCCCATGAAATTATTAACCCATATATCTTGATAATAGACCCTTGTTACCTCCTTACTAAATGTCTGCACAACATTTCCATGTTTTTAGCTCGAGTAAAAATTTCTGAGCTGCATCGCAACCCCTTCCACTTCATAATTTTATTTCTGAATTCCTCAACACAGACATGCATATATAGTACATAATCTAATGTCCTTGTTGTCCTTCTTAAAAGAGCATCTGTCCTTGTGGAAGAATGTTTTCTTCTACTGCTAGTGCTAGAATAATGAATGCTGACTTCCAGCTCCCATGGTGAATGGTAATCAGCCTGTTCGGTATTTTTCATGATTTTAGAGTTCTTTTTTTCATTACTTCGCTATCACGGATTCAAAAGCTAAAAATAAATATGAACTACAAGCCAAACATGACGAAGTGTAGCTACTTAGCTTTTTGTTTGGCAGCGAGAACTCAGGGGCTCACAGCCTGGTGCTTTAGAGACCCCAGCATGCAACATTTTGAGTTGCACTTCCCCGTGTCTTTTGGACACTAACTCTGACCTTGCCTGCCCGGTGGGAGTTTACAGTCAGAAGTAGCCATCATAGGTAGATTCAGATGGCAGTTACCAGACATACAGTGTACATCGTGGAGCTATAAATATTTAAAGCTTGTATATACATTTGTGGCTGCATGTTCAAGTCATCTGTCCACTCCTCGGTCTTTTTTTCTTTTTTAGTAGCTACCATGCTCATTGCTGGGTATTAAATGCTGCATATGACAGGTTGTCCCAGCCCTGTGTAGCTTGACAAGTAAAGAGGGCCAAATGGATAGAATAACCTGCCACTGGGACCTGAGTTCAGATCTGGAGTTTAAAGAGCACCAGTCAGTTATGGACTGTCCCACGACCAAGTGCACTAGCACATTTGTTGCTAATACTTAGGCTCAAAAGGCAAAGGTGACCGTATTGAGAGCAGGGCTGAATCAATGCCCATTTATCACCTGTGCCAGAAGTTAGAGCTACTCTAATTCACCTACCACATGGAGAGAGGCTCAGGGACCTCCCCTTGGACGGATTGGTAATTTTGCAGAACATGTGACTGTTTTGAGCAGATTAAAATTATGTTGACTGTTCCATAATGATTTAGTGCCAGAAAGGGCCAAATCCATGCTCATATACATATTTATAAATAGGAATATATATTTATAAATAGGAAGCTGTGTGATGTTGCTTTATAGCAAAGGAGTAGAATACAAGTCACCTGGTCACAGGCATGGAGGCTAGCCCTATTTCTATACTCAGGCATAAGAGCTGGATTCTTTTCTTAGCTCTGGGCAGCCTTGGACAATTGAAATTAATGCAACAAACTCGTATTGAGGACCTGCTATGCATGAAATGCTGATAGGCTTTAAGACAGCATTGGTCAAAATAGGGTCCACATCCCACTTACATTAGAATAACCAAGGTTTGTTTGAAGATGCAGATTTCTAAGCCCCATCAGAGTTTCTCAGATTTACTGAAAAATACAACAAAATTTTAAACTTTTTTTTTTTTTTTTTTAGTAATGGTTGTGCATATGAAAATTTAGGACCCATGGTGAACTTTTGATCCCTAGAGTTGGGAATGTGTGGTATGCTCTTTGTGTCCCTCAGAAAAGAGAATATTGCTATAAAGAAGTGAATTTCAAGGTGAAATGGCCCTATGTCATGTCGCTACAGGTCCACAGAACAGGTGTTGGAGTGAGCCACCAACCAGTGGTGGCAGAGTTGGGAAGGTCAAGGGTCCACGAAGTGGTGTCAAAAAGTGTTGGCCTCCAGGAGACAATCATGCTGAAAGGGCCAAACCTTTTGAGAACATGGAAGTTTGTCCCCATTGGAATTGTTCTGTGGGGTGGGGGGAGCACATAGGTGGCTCAGTAGATTAAGTACCTCCCTTCGGCTCAGGTCATGACCCCAGGGTCCTGGGATCAAGCCTCATGTTGGGCTCCCTGCTCAACAAGGAGCCTGCTTTTTCCTCTACCCCTCCCCTTGCTTGTGCTTTCTCATGTTCTCTCTCTCTCTCAAATAATAAATAGATAAAATCTTTTAAAAAGTTATTGTTTTGGTAACTTTTGTTTGAAATAAACTGAAACTTAGAGAAATTAAAACTTAGAGAAATAATGCAACAGAGTATGAAGAACTCCTGTATTAGATTCCTAGTTATTAGCATTTTGTCCTCATTTGCATGATCTCTCTGCGCATGTGCATGTGTGTGCACAGCCCTGACGGGCACACGTGTGCACACCCATAGACATGAGTGTGCATACATACACACCCACGGGCGCTCATGGTGCATACCCACCAACACACTTATTTCTGAATCAGTTGAAAATAACACATCAGGCCCCCTTACTGCTTAATACTTTGGTGCATAGATGGTAAGACCATTCTCTTTTCTAACCACAGTATAATGATTGAAATCTAAAATTTAGCATGGATACAATACTATTATCTGATCCATATTAGTCCATATTCCAGTTTTTGCCACTTTTGTTCCAACAAGGCCTTTTTAGTAGATTTTTCCCACTCCAACCTCACTGCACAGAGTACAGTCTGGTACAAGAGGCAGTTTGGGACATCTGAGACATTCACTAGTGACCCCTCTTCTGGGCTGGATTTCCTCCTGCCATTTTCTCCAAACAGTATTTCTGCCTTGCTTGTCTTACTTTTTCTTTTCTGTAGTTACTCTTTATATTTATGTTTGATTCCCCGGGTCAGCTAAAGTAGCGAGTCCTCATTTCTCATAGCAGATTAAATAGCATTAAAAGTGACTTGAAACTCTTAAATCTCTCAGAATAATGAATGAAGGAATGCCATCCCATTGGATTCTCATTAAATCCATAATCAAATTTCTCCATCATTTTGTTTTATGGTTATAAGAACCACCATGATCAGATGGATTTCAGTTAGATTTCATCTCTTATTTTATGAAGAGATAACTCAATGTGTTTTAAGCTGTTTCAAAAATTAATCCCATTTAATCTTATCAAGCCAGCATAATTTGAAGAAAAAACTGTGGGCCATCCTCGCTTTTAAACAGAATTAGAAAAATTCTACATAAATAGCAAATAGAGTTCAACAGTGTATCAAAAGAGTAAAATATTTGACCAAGTAGGGTTTATTTCAGAAATATAGGAGGTTCAAACTTTTTAAATATTTCTAAATATCATTATACCAACAAAAGAAAAAAGAAAAACCTGATCTCATCAGTGGATGCTGAGAATGTATTTGAGGAAAGTCAGCTGCCATTCCCAAAATAAGAACTTTAAGTAAAATAGGAAAGAAAGAAACCAATTAACTATAATCCAGACTATTCATATATATAAAAAAAAAAAAACAGTAGCATATTGCCATAAATGGTAAAATCCTTAAATGATTTCATTTTAAATAGGAAATTAGTCAGGGATGCCTGAAATCACTATATAATTCAGCATTGTTTTTGGAATTTTCAGCAACTGCCAAGAAAATTAAATAACTATTACAAATACTAGAAAAAAATGATTTCTGTGCTTATACAAATATGCACACAAAAAGTGTCCTTTTAAATGTGTTCGTAAGTGGCTGTCTATCTAGAAAACCCAGAAAATACCAGTAAAGAAATACTAGAATTATAAGAGAATTTAAAAGGTGACTAGATCCATAATAAACATGTAAGACCCAATAGCTATTTCTATCCTAACAATCAATAGCTTTTTTTAAACTCTAGCAATGAGCACTTAGAAATGCATGGGTAGGGGCTACCTGGGTGGCTCAGTGGGTTAAAGCCTCTGCCTTCGGCTCAGGTTATGATCAGGGTCCAGGGATCAAGCCCCGAATCGGGCTCTCTGCTCAGCAGGGAGCCTGCTTCCCCCTCTCTCTCTGTGCCTGCCTCTCTGCCTACTTGTGATCTCTATCTGTCAAATGAATAAATAAAATCTTAAAAAAATGCATGGGTATAATAATTGCTTTCATACACATTGCATAGGAATAATTTTTATAGTACCAACTAGGAAAAAAAATCCAAAATCTTTTTGAAGTATACAAAATAGAGTTGAACAAATAGAAAGGCATATTATTCTTTCATATGAGAAGGTGATATCATTAAAAAAGCTCCTCTAAATTGATATATAAATTTATGTATTCCAATAGAATCCCAGTGATTGATTGGTGGGGGAGGAGGGCAGTTACATAAAATGATATCAAAGTATAAATAGAATTAACACGTACCTGAGAATAAAGATGTACAAAAAAGAACAATTGTAAGGGTCAACTTCTCTTTACTAAACGTTGGACTATAGTACGAGCCTGTTGTAACCAAGTCAATGTGATGCTGATGTGAAACTGGACTAGGCAGTTAGGGAATCCAGAAGTAAATTCCAGTTTTGAATTCCAGATCTGTAATATGTGAGAATTTAATAAACGTCAAAGGTGCTATTCTAGCTAAATGGGAAATGTTTGGACTAATTGTGTTCTAACAACTTGGCTCTTTATTTGGAAAAAAATAAAATTGGACTCCTATCCTATACCACATTGATAAATAAATTCCAGATATGTTAACGTTTACATGTGAAAAATTAAAACTGTAAGCTTCCTGCAAGAAACTCCTGAAAACTTTAATAACTGTAATTGGACACTCAAAGCTATTCTTGACCATATAAAAATTAAGCAATTTTATATGGCAAGAGAAACCATCAAGAAAGCCAGGAGACAGAATTCATTTGGATGGAACTTTATAATACAAAGACAGGATGGATATCTGTTATAATCCAAGAACTCATAGAAAAGTGGATAAACCACAAATAGAAAACGGACAAAGGACCTATCTAGACCATTCACAAAACTGCAAATCCACATGTCCAACAAATAAATAAAAACATTCTCAAGCGCATCAGTAATCAGGGAAATGTGAATTTTTTAAAAAGATTTATTTATTTATTTTAGAGAGAGACAGAGAGAGCATGCATAAGTGCAGGGGGTGGAGAGCCAGAGGCACATGGAAATAGAGAAATTCTAAGCAGACTTCATGCTGAGCATAGAGCTGGACATGGGGCTCCATCCCAGGACCCTGAGATCATGTCCTGAGCTGAAACCAAGAGTTGGACGCTCCACCAACTGTGCCACCCAGGTGCCCCCAAAATGTAAATTTTTTAAAGTAAGAGTTAATATCTCCAATTTTTCAGTCTGGAGAATATTAAATATAACACCATTGCTGATAGAGAAGCAGGGACAAGATTACTGTTGTCCTTTGTAAAAGGAAAGGTAAACGTTTTTTGAAAGCAACCAAGCAGCATCTTGTAAAATTTGAAATAATTGTATCTATTATATTAATTGTACCCACACTGCTTCTGGGAAACCTTCCCATAGGAATAAAAGATAAAGTGTATATGTTGTAATATAGCATAGATTTTTTTTTTGATACAAAGTTTGTGGAACAGAGTTGGAAAGAAATTAATGCCTATCTGTAGGTGAATAGCTTAAAAAATATGGTGCATACATACTATGGATTAGTATGTGGGCATGAGAAAATTGCATTAGTGTCAGGCCGAGGGGACTTGAAGGGCATCCCATCAATATGGAAATATGGTAGGTCCTACAGGGCGGTTGTCCATTGGTGAAGGGTAGGATGATTTGAAGTGGGTAGAAAGTCAAGTAAAAAAGGAAAGGAAAAAAAAAAAAAAAACCAAGGATGGCAGTATCAAGTGTGCATGATAGCACATTTAAACAAAACCATTGGGCGCCTGGGTGGCTCAGTGGGTTAAGCCACTGCCTTCGGCTCAGGTCATGATCCCAGGTCCTGGGTTCAAGCCCCGCATCGGGCTTTCTGCTCAGCAGGGAGCCTGCTTCCTCCTCTCTCTCTGCCTGCCTCTCTGCCTGCTTGTGATTTCTCTCTGTCAAATAAATAAATAAAATCTTTAAAAAAAAAAAAAATAAATAAACAAAACCACAAGGGAGAATTGATGTACTAAGTGTGCAAAGCTTCTGAGATGTTTGTTAGGAGCATCTCCCTTAAACAGATGACTTGTATTCCTGGGAGAGAGATGAGTACAGCCACTCTTGATCCTTTTGTCCTTGAAACCTAGAGAACATTGACATCCCAGGGCTGTTTACCTTTCTGCTCCAAGGTATAAGAGGAGCCTTCAAGTTTTATTGGCCTTCCTCCACCTGTAAATTACAGGTAAAGGTGAAAGTCTCAGAAGGCACCATTGGCCCAAGAAACTCATTGTCACGGGAGCTTGCTGTCTCCTTCCCAGCCTTGTCTTGTGCCCTGTCCTCAGCCAGTCACCATCCTAGATGTCGTAGAAGTCCAACCCCGACCCCCAAACATACCACATGTGTTTAGACCCAAAGCTTTGTGAGGGGTTCCTGTTTCAGGGGAGTCCTTCCTTCTTGCCCCTCTCCCTGACATTCCTTTTCCTCCTGCCAAATCCCCTAGGTCCAATACCTTATAGGTCAGGCCCTCTTTGGTCCCAGAATCCTGACTCTCCCTTCTCCTTCTCTGCACTCTCCCCCATGAGTAATTTTGCAGAGTGCTGAGTTTTATGTGTTTATTTATACGCCTGCCGCCGGCTGCCTGTCTCCCGCTCTGCAGTAGACGGAATTCCTGGAGGTCAGGGACCTGCTTCTTTTCCTTCTTCTGTCTTTAAACGTCCGTACCTATTCCTGGTGCTTATCACAGTGTCTGGCCCATAATTCATTCCCAATAAATGTCTGTCAGATGAATAAATGGATGAAGTACATCATGCTTCCTGAAATCTGAGTATAAGATCAGGATGGGAAGTTGTAAAATTGTGCCTGAGCCGATGATCACTAAAAGCACGACACTTCACAAAGCCACCTAAATCACTGCTCATTTGACAAAGGAAGGTAGTTGTTAATATGACATGGTTTCTTAGCTAATCATATGTTTATGGTGTTGTTTTCAATGTCCAATGGATTCATTTTTGCTGATTAAGTAACAAAAATGGTCGTTCATGCACTTTCTTTGTTTGGAGGGTGTCTGGTAAGTTGTGAATCATTGAAGCTCAGGTTCAGACTTGACCTAAAATTAAGTCATCATTCCATAGAACGGAAACACCTAAGCCAGGCGAATCAGAACGTCCTCTTTTAACAGCTCATTGTTCTCCATACAGATTTTCACTGCACTACCACCCTTCACACTGGGAATCTTCGAGAGGTCTTGCACCCAGGAGAGCATGCTCAGGTTCCCACAGCTCTACAAAATCACCCAGAATGCAGAAGGCTTCAACACAAAGGTACACAATGTTATTGCAGAATTGTCACTTCAAAAGGGCATAAGCACTGCTGTATGTCTTCCAGCTCTAGTTATCTGCATGTGAGAGAGCTAATGCATTAGAGAGAACCTTCGAGAAGAGGTGAGACGCCTGCCCTCTCCCAGTCTGACAAGCCAGTAAATTCAAGATGCCAGCTGGAAAGGAAGCTTCTGTGTTGCATGTTTAGTTCCTGTTTGTTGACTCCTTTCCCCTTGTCCCTGTGTGGCCAGCAGCACCCATGGCCCTAGGGCCTTTTGGATCAGCTGTCAGAGACTCCCCTTACCCTTCATAAAGCCTTGCATTGAGGAAGGCTGGGAGCTTGCCTAACAGAGCTTTCTTACCACCCTGGCTTGGTTTTTCCTTTAAAAGAAAATGTTTCTTTAGCTAGCGAGAAAAATTGGCCAGATGTCAACACAGGAATCCAGTCAGTTGTAGGTATCTTTTTTTTTTTTTTTTTTTAATCAGACTGGAAAATCAAACGAGAAAGCCTCTAGACCTAAAAGGTGTCAGCAACCTTGCGAAGGGCCAAGTAGAAGCTGGGTTGGGTGTTGCCAGGATTCCACAGTCAGGACGGGCAGAGGGGACCTCATGGGGCCTGCCAGTCACAGCCAAGTGGCAGAGAGGTTGAGGGCCCCGGCCAGAAGAGAAGACACGTGCCAGGCTCGGTGCAGGACGCCTGTGTTGCCATGCTTCTGTCTTCAGGTTTTGTGCAGGCGGGGATTAGGATGTTTAACGAGAGGTTCACTGAAATCTTTTAACAGAGGTCAGTGAAATTACTGGGCACCAGTGGTGTGCGTGATTTGCTTGGGTAGCCGCCGGGGCCTTGGTAAGGATGCCAAGTGGAGTCCTCCAGGAGAGAACCATCTCTGAAGCCTTCATTTTGAGCCGGTGTTATTGATAGCCTCCCTTCAGAGCTGTCTTCTTTTGAAGAAAGCATAATAGGCACTTCCAAGCCTGGAAAAAAACCAAAATGGATCCTATTGGTTTTACTGTCTTCCATACACGGGAAGACTTGGATGAATATTTGTTTTCAGTCCCTGTTTACTATGAGTTTGTCAATGGGAAGCATGGCCTGTTGGTTCTGCATTCTTTATGTAACTCTGTTTTTTAAAGCGCTTGAATTCAAAAGCCCTATAAGATGGGAAGTAAGTAGGGAATGGACCTACTTAAAAGGTAGTAGAGCTGAGAATTCTCTGAGACTTATTTGCAGACGCCTTGGAGACTTTTTTTTTTTTTTTTTTTTTGAGGGGGTGGGTAAGGAGGTCAGGGAGAAGGGAAAAAAAATGAACATTTAAAAATGGAAAATCCCATTGTCTTATGATTTTTTTCATTTTTCTGCTTCCCCACCGCTACTTAGGATCAAACTATACGACAATCCCCAGAATAATCTAGATTTTTTTAAATAAATTCAAGCTGGCTTTAGTATAGTAGTTCTGTCATCTCAGTAGTAAAAAGATGATTAAAGTGCATTTATGAAACCTTAATTTAGAAGAAACTAAACGTTGTGTTCTTCTGTTTGACCTTTGAAGTGTTAAAGAGAATTTTTAAATGTGCATTATATTAACCAAACTCCTAGAAATTAACAAGTTGCTCCAGAGGGATTTTAAAAAACAAAACAAAAGAATGGGAGCACCATGTAGGAATCTACATTTAAAGTGTTTTTAATGCTTTCAGGAAGTCCACAGTTTCTGTCTCTTGTTAACAATTTTGACCTAACACCTTTCTCTTTCTAGATGATTGTAAAAGTCTGTTGTCTTTTTTTAGGATTCTTAAAAAAAAAAAAAAGGCTTATAAATCATTTTTGGTTGTGGACAGATTGTATATTGGTCCACGTATATGTGCATATATATTTAGGTCTTTGCAGCAAGGTAATATTATCCGGAGATAGTCCAGTCATTTGTATGTAAAAATGAGGAAACCGGTATTTTTTTAACTTCAAGAATACTAGGCTACTTCTGGAACAACGCAGACCACTGCCAGTATCCTTCACAATGAGGCGTTTGTTGAGTTGCACAGAGGTCAAGAGTTGTGGGCAGCTCCTGACTCCCTTGGTTTGTTTTCCCTTAGGTTTTCTGGGGTCACTGCATCAACGCCTTGGTCCACTCCCTCATCCTCTTCTGGTTTCCCATGAAAGCGCTGGAGCATGGTAACGGCTTCATGATTTCAACTGTCAGCAAGTAGCTCTGCGGTCCCTCTGGTGCCAGTTGTTCACAAATTTTTTTTTTCCCAGTTCTGCAGACCAAGAGATCACAAGAACACATTTCAGAAGAAAAACATACCTAAAATCTAATGAGAGCTCGGGCTCAGGTTTATAGCTTGTAGGTTTCATCCATTCTGGCTCCGAGAGCCCATTTTCTTTCCAGTTGCCTGGAGAGTTTAAATGCTAGGAATTCTAAACTTTATTTTTAATAACTGAGTGGAGGATCTTGAAGCAAAACACTGTGCTGGAGTGAAACATCGATGCCTCTCGGCCCCAAGTTTGACATATTCTGTTAATTGCTTGGGCTTTCGTCTTCCAACCTCACATACCTGTATGCAGAGTCACTCAAATCTTGTGAGGGTCTAACCTTACACCTCATTTCTTGAAAGAGTCCCCTCTCCTTGACATACACTTTTCAAGCAGACTTTTAAAGTTTGAGGCCCGATTCTCTCGACTGGTTTTAGTCTTTCCTCCAGCTGGAAAAGGACGTGTGAGAAACGTGGCTGCCTATATTTGTTCACACTCCTTAATACATCCAAGAGATTCCCTCCTAAAGAGACACATCTTTTAGTCTCAGAAAAGGAAAATGGATCATGAGAATGCTACTCTTTCATTCCTCTCAAATAGTAATAATCCCCCTGGGAAAAATTACTCCAAATATTGACTAGACAAGGCCTTTTATTGTTCAGAGAACCAAAGAATATAAAGCTTCCAAGCCTCTTTGTTTCTATGTCAATCTGTTTTGTGCTTCAAACAAAAATGATTCATCCTCACTGATATTCTTTAACCTATTAAACACCGACAGTTAGAAAAAATGCATGCCCTGCCAATTTATTACAGCCTATGACCTGTTCTTCGAGTTTCATCTGACCCCTCTTTTCCCTCAAGGGTCCCTAAGTATCTAGATCAGGAAATAAAAACGTTCTACTTCTAGCCCTCCCACCCACCCCCAACACACGGGGCATTCTAGCAAAATCGTGTTCTTTGAACTCTAAAGCTCTCCTGTGGTTCAGCTTTACTCAGTGTGGATTTCTGTGTATTTCGAGTGAGCAGGGGCTACGAATAGAAGAGTGTTGAATGTGGTTCGCTTAAGAAGCTCTGCCGGTTTGGTGATAGAAACTGCCATCTCTCTAGCAGGATGGACTGGGGCTGGGAGGTAATTTGTCTGATGAGCGTAAGAACAATCTGGGCAGCTGTCCTGTTATCCCTGAGCCCATACTTAGGAAGACACAGGGACTAGTATGGACTGGACCACGAGTACCATCTCCAGGCCCCTTACCCTTCTCATCTAGACATTGCACTCTGGTCCTAACTCCAGAGTGCTTGCCTTTGGACCCTCAGAAGATTTATAAGATGGTCACTCAGTTGTCTGCTTCATAAAGCCCTAATATGGCCCATTCTGCAGTAGAAGTGATGGTTTTCCAATCCCGGAGATAGGATTGATTATGTGTGTTGAGATTGCAGCTTGCTACTTATGGTGGAATTGGGATAGTCTAGCTAGATGCCACTATATAAATCTGTTCATTCCCCTGAAATAGCCTGTGTTTCAAAACAGATAGACTCCCAAAAGTTACTTATTTACCTGAGAGACAGCACCAAGTGAATTTCAAGTCCATTTCTGCCACCCTTATCGGCTTCCCTCAAATCTGGTGATTTACCTAGTAGCCAGCCCATAGGATGTTTTTCCAGTTTGTATTATCATCACTATCATCATCAATGTCATTATTTTATTGTATGTATTTAGCCTTCGGCATAGAAGCTTTCTGTTAATTTTGTTGTAAATGTTAACCTATTGAGTGCAACTGTGTGAGATGAAATAAATTGCAAATATTAATTATATTTGGCAGAGAATTATAGGAGGCCATTGGTGTTCTTGTTCATGAGTTGACTTGTTCTAACAAATGAATATTTTAGAATTAATTTCTAAATTCTCACTATTAATGCATAGCAAAGCTGATTGCATCATTGCTCATTAACCTTATTGTGTAATATTTATGTCTAAGGCTTTGGGGTGGATTCTAAGGGTGCTAGGTGAATGGATCAACGTAGCCTTACTGTCAAAGGGTTTGTAGTCTGGTAGGGAAACTAGATCCACGCATGGAAACTTCTAGTACAAAGTAGAAAATAATTCCCACAAGTAAAATACAGATGATATGCTATGGGTTTTCAGAGGGCTGAGAGAAAATGCCTTTCTTTTGGGATTATTAATGACTTAGTAGAAGAGGTAACATCCAGGCTTAGCCTGGAAGCCCAGGTAGGATCGAGAGGTGTAGGAATGGATGGAAGAGCCGAACAATGTAGAGAATTTCAGGGCAGATGTGGGAAGCTGTGAGGAGTCTATCCTTTCACGGGTGAAGGTCAGAAAAAGATTTGAGAAGGTGAGTGAAAACTGGACAGCACAGGGTTTTGAATGTGAGGTTGAGAAGTCAGGACTTAAAATGTTGTGTGAAGAGTCAGCCTGGATTTTAGATCAAGGAGAGTATCATGATCAGAGCCCTTTGGGGAACAAATGTATCAAGTCCATAAAAGTGAAAGGTAGAAGGAGAACTAGAGGCAAGAACACTCGTGTGTGCAGGTGTTGCAGGGAGTGTGTAAGGAGATTAACACCCAGGAAATGGGAATGTGCTTACACACTTCCAGGGAGTGTGTTTTGAGAATCTGTTGATTTAGCAGAATCATGGCAAATCAGTGACCCTGAGAGTGCCAGACCCTGAGAGTACACACATAGAAATTCTGCCTCTCCTGCCCCCGGCTGCTTCCGGAAGGCCAGAGCTGATGACCAGGAGATGCGTGCATTGCTGCTTCCTGGCCAGTGTGCTGTGGGCTACAGGGACACAACCTAGTCCAGAGGCTCTTCTGAGGAAGAGACATTTATATTCTTGAAAGGTGAGGAGGGGCTGATCAAGTGGGGCAGGGCAGGTGTGGGGAAAGGTGAGAGAGAGAGCACTCTGGCCCAACCAGGCAGGCATGCAAGAACCTGAAGAGGCCATGGGCAGTATTTCCCAATGCAGGGCCGGGGAAACCCAGATTCTAGACTTTGTTGGGCGCCCTTATGAGCATTTCAGGATGCCGGCAGCAAATGTCAGTAACCTTCCCTTTTTCTTTCCCTATCCTTGTGCAACTATAATAGAGCAGAACATGTCTTGACATATTCCCAGTGTCCCCTCTGGGGTCAGCAGTGGCACCCTCTAGTCAAGACAGCTGCATCAGAGAGGTGGGGGGGAGTGGCTGGGAAGGAGGGTGGGAGGTTAGGGTTAGGTGAGGGTCAGATCAGGAAAACCTGGGTGCAGACTTTTCTCGGTGAGAGGCAGGAGGTAGGAAGATTTGCTTCATAGAAAAACACATGATGTTTGGCAAGAGCATGGATTTTGGGGGTTGGCGAAAAAAGAAAGTCAGTGGTGGAAATCAAGAAAGATTGCAAGTTTGAGAAGATAGGGATATGGCAGCTGATGGGATTACTTGTTTATATGTGCTGATTTACTGTCTTAATTCTGAGTTCTTGTTACACTTTGAATCACCATTTAGAATGATGTAGCACCCCACCCCCAAGGAAATACAGGAACATGGCACTGATTTGAGAGGAACTGAGACACGTTCAAGGCTTGGGGGACCCTGATCTAACAGAGGAGTGCCTCTGTCCACCCCCAAGTCCCACCTGAAACTGTCGCCCAGACTCTGTCTCACAGCCAGGACCCTAAAGGAGTTTTGCTTGATGGGCTAGGGTTCCTAGAGCCCTTCATTTCATTGTTTCACACTTTGTGGATTATGTCACAAAGATGGTAGATTTTACTAGGAGCTTCTCTCTCCACTATGAAGAGTGGCTTAGAGGCTTACATATCAGTGTTGTTCACTTTGGGCACATAATTGTTGGGAAGAAATATTTTTGAGAAGGTGTGAGCCCGTTGTTCATTCCTTAGAGAGGTTCCAAGAATTTTGCTTTGCTTATTTTTGCGTGGTTTTGGATAGACCTTTCAAAGCACTCCTTTGCTGATGGAATTTGTGATGATTCATTTCAAGTTTCAAAATAAATTTTTCCACTCAAGCAATTCAGCAAATCAGATTTCTTCCAACCATCACAATCTTACGCTCAGTCCCGTGGCCTGTCTGCAGCTCCCATACTTTGATCTGAAAGCGAGTCTAGGTTAAAACCGGAGATGTCACCTTTGTAGGGCCCGAAATTCATCAAGACCCTTGGTGTCTGCCCACACTCGGGTTTTCCTTTGGTGGAGTCCAGTCTGCATATTTGAGTATTCCTCCTTGAAGTGGAATGTGGTTATTGGCAAAAGAAAGTAATATCAGTTTGGACTTAAAAAAAGGAAATTTTCAGATTTTTCTTGATGAAATTTAGGGGGGGTGAGGAGAAAGAGAATATACTTAGCAGCAGAGAAAAATTCCTCAAAACCTTTGTTTCTCAATTCCTCACAGCCCACACCCTGGAAATCATTCCCACCCCTTTTCAGAAGGAAAATTACCATATGGATACGTATTTTATTGGCATTAATTAAGCAGCAAGGTCTTTTGAGAATTTCGAGAAAAGGTGATTTTATACTTTTTAATGACTGTGCTGCTAGATGACCAGTTTTATAAACTATGCACGTGGATAAGATGAAACATAGCCTGCTTATCTCTGCTTATGGCATTATTGGGTCGTTTGAGCTTGAACTATTTCTGATCTGTACCTGGTACTGCAAATCATGCCATTTTATATCACGTAAATCCCAATGACTAACCTTCCTCACATTCAGCGATGTTAGGGCAAGACTGCCATTCTCTGAGACTGCCACTTCTTAAACTCAGTTATTTATTAGAAAGGAAAAGCTAAATGAGTCTGTTCTCTGTGCCAGGCCTACCCTGGCTCCCGGGCATCCCATGGGGAATCAGTATGGCATTAGTGAATACTGTCCTTGATGGCCATAGCTCCTGGGCCTGCTGGGACAAGGTGCTGT